GGGTCCGCGCTAAAAAGTGTCCGCACTTGTAAGGCGCTAAAATCGTATACAGAGCGCCAAACTCCGCTTTAGTCTTCATTTTGTTCTACTGACAGCGCGATACTGCGATGACATTACAATTTAAATTTCGATAAGGTTGACTTGGGACATTTTTTTCGTGGTTTTTGTATTAGACCCGTCGTCCATTTATTTGTAAGTCAATGCGCTCGCTCACATTATAGTATAATTTTAGTAACAGCAGAATCCTTGTGAAGAGTGCGTCCTGGCAAGTATTGCCACCTCACCCTTTTTATGTCACCAAACAGTAATGTGAACATTACTGCATTCCGATTGTGAAGGGTAAAGGTGCTGGTGATATTTCACGCTCATGAGACTTGTCAACTTATGTCTCAGGGTGTCGGGCGCTGTGGCAGTGCTCCATCTTTGTGACTTAAAGCTCTGAGTGGCACTGCAAATGCTAGGGACAGGTGTGTCGCTTACCACCTGGCACACGACTTGTTAGTCCCGTCACATGGTATTATACCCTAGGGAAACCCTGTATCGCGGGTACCATGGACCAAACTACGAGATAAGTAAATGTAGGCCATGGAAATATATTGCCCGGCCCGGGAATCGACTCTAGGGCTTCTGTGTGGCCGTGCAGTGTGGTAACCGTTCGGCCACGGAGACAGTTTAATAAAAGGGAAGTTTTGGTTCGGCCAGGTATTTATTTAAACTTTACTGTACAATATGCTGTAGTACAAATAGCAGACTGAAAGCCATAAGGCATTCTCTACTAGTCAAGCATAGGGCCAAACAGAAAAAACTACACAATATGTTGGTGCTACACTTGCAGTGCAGTGCTCCATGTGTTCAATATAATAATGCATTCAGGATGCTGATGGGGCTGCCGCGGTCCTGCACAGCGTCAGGGACCTTCGCGGAGGCGAGTATAGATTGCTTCTACACCACGATGCGTAAACGATGCACATCCCTGGCGCGCAGGATTGGGGCCAGCCCCAACAGCATCCTGAGCATGATCGCGAACCGGCTCGACTGTCCATGCGTGAATCAGTGTTCAATGATTCACGTACTTAATAGAAAGAAAGAAAGAAAAATAGTTTATTTGGTAACCATAATACAAATAGAACGTAAAAACAAAAATTAAAATAACCTTATTATAATATTTACTTAAAATAAAACAGTATTATATTTAAGATGGTACCAAAAAGGTCTCCACTCAGCTTATTTGTAACGAGACGTAGGGAAACATCTTGTTACGCTGATTTTCAGTGAAGCCACAATTTACAGTTAAATAAAAATAAAGTGGCTTCGACCATGTAAAAAGAAAAATAGAGAATTTAATTTAAATATGAAAATTCAATTTAAAAAAGGAGAAACTGCGAGTACGTGTAGAGTCTGTGTGAGCGTGTATTGTGTGATCACTGTGTTACCATGTATGTGTGGTTGTGACATTAGTGTCAGTAGTGGAATGTCACAATCGCACCGCACGACTGCCAGTGCTGTTGGACACCTGGCTAGATAATAAAAATTTCTTAAAAGACAATTTGAAGGATGCAACAGATTTAATCATAAGTAGTGGCGTCCTATTGTGCTTTGTCTTTTGTTGTTTTTTGTACATGTACTAACATCAGATTTAAATGATTTTGTAACTAACTAATACCTTGGGTCCATGTTACCTAAATAAATGAATTTTATTATTATTTATTATTGTTATTAGTAAACATGAAGAACAATATACTAGAAAGCTAATCGATTTGTATGGTATAAAATGAATAACATAATATAAACATACTTATTATACATACATAATAATCTTACATATATACGTGGGGCGCACTATAAGTTTCCGGAATGAATAAGAAAAAAATACCATAAATGGTCAGTACCGAATTTATTGTTTCTCAAAATATTCTCCGTTAGCGTTAATGCACTTTTTCATACGAATGAACCGATTTTGAAAACATTTATGCCACTCCTCCGTGACAATTTCTGAAACATATTTTTCATACTATTCGATAGCCTCTTCAGGTGACGAAAATCGTTGACCGCGTAACGGGTTCTTAATTTTTGGAAATAAATAAAAGTCACAACGTGACAGGTCGGGACTGTGCGCGGGATGGCTTATAAGGTCAACGTTGTTTACCTTCAAAAATTCATTTGTCTGTCTGGCCGTGTGAGAACTGCCATTATCGTGGTGCAAGATGATACGGCAATTACGGTTATTTTTACGGAGTTTGTCAATAACTTCCGACAAACAAATTATTGTGTACCAATCACTATTCACGGTACAACGATTCTCCAAAGCAACAGTAGCTACGTGTCCAGTTTTATTAAAAAAGAAGCAATCATCCGCTTAGAGGCACATTGGACGCGCGCCACTTTGGTTGGTTTCGGCTCATCTCGAAAGACCCATACGCTAGATTGCTGCTTTGTTTTGGGATCCTAACTATAAATCCATGTTTCTTCACCTATTACTATGTCCCACACCAAATTTGACGCCCCTTTGTTGAATCTGGTAAGCATGGCATAGCACCAAGTGACGCGATCCGTTTTTTGAGCCTCAGTCAAATTGTGTGGGATCCACCGAGAGTACAGCTTCTTTATACCGAAATGTTTGTGTAGTAGGTCACATGCCTGTCTGTTTTGATCATACGACATACAGCATCGATGTTTTTGTTGTTCACAGTAGTGGACGGGCGACCATTACAAAATTCGTCACTGAGAACACAACCGCGTTTGAATTCTGCAACCAGCTATAAATAGTCGTCTTGCATGATGCTTCATCGCCAAAAGCAGTATGAATCCGAGCGAAGCTGCGGAGAAGCGGTCGTAGAAAATCATACTACGAAAATTTTCACGAGTTAAATCTATTCTGATGTAGACAACCAATTTCAAAAATGACGCTACAATGTAAAAACAAGTGACAGTCAGATGAAACATTCTGTATTCTATAGTCAAAAAGTTCCATTTTCAAATGTTGTTATTACTTTTGAAATATTTTTTATGTAAGTAGCCAGTTCCGGAACCATATAGTGCGCCCAATGTATTATAATAATAAGTAATATATGTACCCAAATCAACATTATACAGTGTCTTGATTTTGACAATTGTCAAAGAGATGCTTTTGCAACATGCACTTGAAAGATAATTTGGTCTGAGCATGTCTTACATGGAGCGGGAGCGCATATATAGGCAGTCAAAAAGTGTGTTAGCAATTAATTAATTTAAGTAAGTTGCGGTCTGGCTTTGGAAAGAATATGTAAGAGGTTGTTGTCGCCGCCTACGCCTATGGGAAAAGTGAACTATGTATGTATACATACCCCACCATTAGAATAACGATTGAACGTGAACTGTCTTAGAAAATACAAAACGATTAAAAAGCTAAAAAAAACAAACACGTCCCTCTACGATTATTGTAATGACATGTAATGATTGTAATGAGGCAGAATACACTGCCGCTATTGAGCAAGGGTCGCGAGGGTAGGCTACGTAATTGCACTTAATTTGCCGACACTCTGACCCTTTTGTGATATTGGTAACGAATCACAGCTATCACGCTATCAATCGTTAGGTAAACTCCTGAGGTCCACGTAACATTTTTCGATGGTCTTGTTTGGCAGTCCGTACTTTGATACCATTTGAAATCGTGTCCTTGTTTATTATAAATAATAAACTCACGCTTGGCCACATTTACTTGTTAAGCGACGATCTGACCGATGATGGTATGACGAAAATTACGTGAGTGGGACATTGTATGGCGGTACAATTTTATATAAGAATAATAATTTAGTCGAAACGAATTTTCAGCAATCTAAATTACATGGAAAACAAACAGTATAACAAACATGATTAGACCAAACAAACTTCAGCCTCAAAATAAATAAAAAAATAAAAATCATTTATTGCAGACAATAGTCCATTTTGTTAGTACACTTACAAGCTATCCATTCTACTGTTAGTACAAAAATTACAAAATTAAAAAAAAGAATGAATGAATGAGATGAATTGAATTGATTACATAATGAAATGATTACGTGATGTGTGATACTTGGTTAGTCCTCTGAGCTCCCAGGACGTGAAGTTCGGTAAACCTTGCAAGCAGATCGGAGTCCCACCTGTTCCGTATCATTTTAAGAACTCTGTTTGAGCTCTCTCGCACTCTGCGCATTTTAAGCGTTAGTGCGTAAAAATCCTCTACACTAGCGTCGGCAAACATGCCTGACGCACTGCAGTATCGAGGAAGCCCAAACAGAGCCCTGAACACATTATTATACATAATGCGTAGGGAGTTACAGTTACTAAAGAATTCGAATGTGTAATAATTATTTTAATAATTGGGTTTCTGACAAATGATATTTCCACTGTAAAGACATTTCTGTGTTGCAAATTTATAGCAAAACTGTCATCACACTAATGAAAAAAAGTCGAACCGTTTTCGGGGTAATGAAATTCGGGAAAAAGAATTAGTTTGTAATAGGTAACCCCTGTAGCAAGATGGGTGGATGACATTGTCAAAGTTACGGGCAGTAGATGGGTGAGATTAGCACAGGGTCGTGATGGATGGCACAAATTACGGGAGGCCTATACCTAGCAGTGGGTGAAGTAGGGCTTATACTTATACATGATTTTCCATCGAAATTTTTAAACATTTTAAACACTAAATAATGGTTTTTTGTACACCCGTAGGGCAAGCAGTACTGTCAGGGGGCACGTAATCGCGCTACGATTACAGGTGGTCAGGTGTGGCGCTTCTCACGCCTGCAGGTGTGCGATGAGCTAATGTTTGTACTACCTACCCTATTTTTTGCAAATCACTGTCCTAATAACTGGTAACTCTAAAGTAAACACGCTCTTTGTAATCATCTAAATAATTATAATATTATTATTAATATTTAGTAGCAGTAGAGCTCCTTGTGAAAGAGTTTGTCTAGGGCAGTGTTGCCACCTTACCTATTTCTGCAGTCAAGCATGAATGTCAGCATTACTGTGTTCCGGATTTAAAGAGTAAGGGTGCTGGTGTAATTACAGGCACATGGGATTTGTCAACTTATATCTCAGAGTGACGGGTGCAGTGGCAGTGTCACTCAGATCTTTGTGATTTAAAGTACTGGTACTGCAACTGTTATGGACAGGAGTGTTACTTACCACTAAGTAGACTTGTTCGTTTCGTCAATTATTCTCAAAAATTAACTTTTTGTAGAAAAACCCGGGGTCTGTCAACGAGCGATAGAGCAATAGACCGCGTTAGGACCACGACACTGCGCTCTCAAACTCAGATTGCTGATGTAGCGCAAAAAGCTGCAAAGATGAAATGGATTTGGGCTGGTCATGTCCGCCGCATGCCTGAAGACCCTTAGATCCCTCCACGGAGCCCTATCCTTATTGTTTAAACGCGTGGGAAATGCTTTACGCATACCTTCGAGCCCGGGGAGGCCCGACGGTTATGTGGGACTGGCCCTCCAGTGGAGGGCATTTAGTAGCAGTAGAGCTCCGTGTGACAGAGTTCGTCCAGGGAAGTACTGCCACCTTACCTATTTCTACCGTCAAGCAGTAATGTCCGCATTACTGTGTTCCGGTTTTGAGTGGTAACGGGCGTAGTGGCAGTGCCCCCCAGATCTTTGCAATTTAAAGCTCTGAGTGACACTACAACTGTTATGGGCAGGCGTGTAGCTTACCATTAGACGCACTACTTCGTCCGTCATTTGATATTATAAAAAAAAAATATTGGCACGGTATCGGGTAGTAAACACTAGTCCGAGAATGACCGACAAACAGATCGCGCGTCTTCCTTTTTCACTATTGCGTCTTCGTTTACACGTTACACATTTCTTAGCCTACATGATATTCATGCTGACTAAATATGACCACGAATACAAACAATTCTTATTGCTCATATTATCAGTATGACATACTAGTATGACCACCGATAAACGGCCCACATTTCGAGGTTCTTTATCATCTTTTTTTAGAATTCTGGTTGAAAAAATCTGTACAGAGTATTAAAAAACCAACCTCAAAAGTCATTCAATTTCAGTCATTAGTTTGCCACTCTTAGAGGTAAAATATTTTCTTCAAGTTTAAATGCGACCACTTCTGAGGTATTCTCTTTCCAACAAAAGAAGAATCATCAATATCGGTTCACATATGGAGATACAGCGTAACGTACAAAAAAAACCATGCAGTCGAATTGAAAACCGCTTCCTTTTCTTGAAGTCGGTTAATAATGCAGTATTTTTTTCAAAATACTTGTCGATTATATTTTTCATGGTCTAATTTAAAAATAAAAAAATGTTGACTGATAATTTTTTTTCACAAATTTGTTTTAATACAGGTTTGTCGAATGGGTGGGCTAATTTTGCGTCCTTATTACATTTAGTTGAAAAGGAAATGAAAGAAAATTTTCGGGTCTAAAACGCATACAATTGTTTTTGTTTTCAAATATATAAAAAAAAAAAAACAAATATATGAGATTTAGATTTGAAAAATAGTCTCATAAAAAACTAAGAACTCGATATATTTATTAACAATTCAAAGAAGCTTTGTATTCCATTGCAAATTGTTAGAATTTTTGAGGAAAAAAACAGAGACGATTTACATTACGATTATTACAACACTCGAAAACTAATTTTTGAATAATTCACTACGGTAGGGAACAGCAGGTGCCCCTTCAATAACGATAGATCAGTTTGCTGATCGACGCCACGCGCCCTATGCATTCCGAGTAAGGTTACCACGTAATATTTTAGAACAGGATAATGTAAGACTTAAAAAAACAACAACAATTTACATTAACTATGATTGTCAACCTGTTATAGGTTGAAATTACAGACACACGGGACTTGACAACTTATGTCTCAGGGTGACGGGCGCATTGATAGTGCCCCTCAGATCTTTGCGATTTAAAAGCTCTGAGTGACATTGCAACTGTTATGGATAGACGTGTAGCTTACCATCAGGTGCACGATTTGTTCGTCCCGTTATTTGGTATTTAAAAAAATCTAATTAAATTTCGTATATAAATTTACAAACTCCGTATCGGCGGTTAACCGATGGATGCGCGTCGCGTCCAATCGACTGGTCTGGAAATCTTTGGGGGAGGCCTATGTTCAGCAGTGGACGTCCTCCGGTTGATATGAAGGTGATGATGATGAAGTGCAGTATTTCATATACATTCAAGTCATATAATAGTTCCTATTAGCGATTTTTCTACTTGTTTTTAGTTAATATTTAAGTTACATTTTTTTAATTTTAGTGTTCACCGCACTAGTACTTACGTGCCATCTCATCTTGTAAAAGCGGTTCCAACTGAAAACCAGTAACAGATACTGTTGGATATATTAAACAAAAGATATGCAAGCCTAGATTCGAACGACATTTGAATCCGGGTCTACCACTGCTGGTTTATCATATTGGTTTGTAATAAAATAACGAGTTCGCATAAATATGGTTACCCTCTCCTGCCACATTCAACGGGACCCGGCTATCGCTAACCCTCTAAACGGTCGGCCACACAGGTTAATTGTTTGTACTGCTATGACAGGGTACAAATATTAGCAAATATTTGTTTATTTGTTATAATATCGCGTTATGAATCTTCTTTGAATTAATGAAACATCTTGTATTTGCATTCTATCTAGTGCCCCCGATTTAATTGTTTAACCTTCTAAGTTTTGCTTACAACATTCTAACGACGATTTTATTGACATGTAGAGAATCAAATTCATGTTCAGAAATGGTACAATCTTACTTACGTAATGGTACATACAACAACAATTTAAAAGTATATTTTTTTGGTAAATTTCTTGTTTTGTAACAATATACAATATACAATGTTTGTTATGAAAGGCTGCAAAGTTATTGAATAAATGAAGGAATGAAATATTCTTTATTGCACATTAAAATTACAATGACAACGTGGAACAGTAATGTAAGTATCACAGAGTAAGCCAACGTACAACAGGCGGCCTTATTGCTAAGTAGCAATTTCTTCCAGGCAACCTTAGGATAGAAATTTTAGAGTTGGAAAGGGGGTGCAACCAAAGAATATCACGCAAACGCTTTGTTTTGAAATAACTACACTACTCATTAATAAAATAAATACATAAATAATAAAAATAAATACATATATTATTAGAACGTATACATGAATATTGATATATAATAGTAAGGTTGCTTATATACTTTTGTAGGACAATAAAATAAATAATAAATAGTAATAATACAAATAAATTTACAAAGGAAGGTTATACCACTAAGCAAAAGGAAATAAAATCAAGAGAATGATGCGAAAAAACTAGAATTAGTAGTTAAGGAAATATTCCTTAACACGTCCTTTGAAGGAATCAATAGAAGGGGATCGTTGAATTGATTCAGGGAGAGAATTCCATACCCGGATAGCAGATACAGTAAACGAGTTGGAGTAAAAATCAGAGGCATGAGAGGGGGTGTTTAGTATAAGTGTATCAGAAGATCGAAGAGGACGGCAGAGAACCAAAAGAAAAAAGAAAGAGAGAGGTAACTGGGAAACATGATCAAACTTACGAAGTCCGAAGATAAGTCTTACACACATATTTTGAAGCCGTTTAACTTATTAAGTAGGGTGGCTGTCAAATCCGGACAACATACATCCGAATAGTCCAGTATCGGATTTAGGATGCTCTGATGATGACATTATTGTTTGACGCGAGTGCTTGTATTGAAACCTGTGCAAGCGCAGGAAGCGAAGATTGAACCACGAGGGAAGTGAGTGGTTCGAAAATAAATTCCTGTGAGCGTAGCGAGAGTTTCAAGCCACGAGACGCAAAACAACTTTGCTGCCGAGCGAAACACACAACTTTTCACCTAACTGTAGCTGTAAAAAGAAAAACAGTTGAATTACAAAACGTCAGTTTTTTTAATCTAAAAGCATTGACTTACAATTATATGGACGTCGGGTCCGCGCTAAAAAGTGTCCGAACTTATGGGGCGTTAAAATCGTATATAGAGCGTCATTCACGCTTTAGTCTTCGTTTGTTCGACTGACAGCGAAGCAAGCAAAATTAGACAGTACTGCGATGACATTACAATTTAAATTCAACGTTTTAGCTTTTTCATATTCCTTTACATGTCACTACGTTTAAATAGGTTGACTTGGGACATTTTTTTCGTGGTTTGTGTATTAGACCCGTCGTCCATTTATTTGTAAGTCAATGTCTAAAAGAGAAAGTTTATCTTCGGATGCGTTCTGAATTTACACCTCATCATTCTTGCTTGTACTTTTATTTTGTATGATTAAGTGATTATTGAAATTATTTTAGTTCTTCGACGAATCAAAATAATTTAATGCATACAATTACTTATCATTGTCAATTTAATGTCAACAATAATTAAAATAAAACATATAAGTATGTAGGTAATGAACATAGATTTAGAATGGTAATGAACATGTCATTATCTTGTTTTTTCATCGAAGGAATAAGTCAGGTGCACCACAGTCCATCGTCAAGTTCAAATTTCAAAAACCTTTTCCACGCTAGAGTGGAAAAAACGCTTTTGCGCGCAGATTTCTAATGAGAAAGAAAACCTTTCCGAGTTAGTGAAGTGAAATAGTTCTTTTTATAATTTTTAGCAATAATGGCAATAATAGTTCTTCTTTTTATAATACCAAGTGACGGGATTAACAAGTCGTGCGCCTGCTGGTAAGCGACACGCCTATCCATAACAGTTGCAGTGACACTCAGAGCTTTAAATCGCAAAGATCTTATAGGCACCGCCACTGCTCCCGTCACCCTCAGACATAACTGTACAAGTCTCATGTACCTGTAATTTCGAACCTCTTCCTCTTCTATACCGGAACACAATATTGCTCATGTGACTGCTTGGCGGCAGAAATAGGTAAGGTGGCAGTACACCCTTGGACGTTTCACAAGGACCTCTATGGCTACTTAAATGTGTATAAAAGTAACAAACTTACTTTATATATTAGACGGCCTTAAGCCAGGATGTTTACTTTTAGTTCACTAAGAATCCGCTAGATGACTTTGCCCATTTGGCGTTGTTTCTGAATCGCGTTGTTAAGATTTTCCCTCGAATGGTGACTACTGTAATACAATTTTGTTTATGTTGCGAGAAATCGGAGAATACCGAGAGCTCAGTAAGGCTAACCAGGAGTTGAGGCCCTTCTTGGAAACTGTAGCCCGGGCCTTCTGATAATTGACGTACGCTCATGTAGGGTGAAAATCATCGTCTTGCGGAACGGTTTCCAGGAGTCGAGTCCCTTCTTGGGAACACATGGCTGGACCTTGCGCATATAGGGTGAAATTTTATTGGCGTCATACAAGGTGGAATAGTGACTGACGGAAATATTTTTTTTTTCTAACAACTTGGAATTTTGACTTCGCTGGAGCTGCGTAACATCATCCAACGGTAGAGAGAACCTCCCTCATTTACATAAGTTTTTTTTTCCACAGATGTGCACAGTGTTGTGGGTCCATTACTGGCAGCGCTGCCGCCTCAGCCACCACCGTGTCTGCCTGCTTACTGTCAACATCTACCTACTAGAACGTTGCCTAGTAAGTTTTCAATATTAAACAATCACCTAGGATTATTTTAAAGCCTCATTTTTTATATTAAATACGTATATTCATATTATAAACAATTAACAGACATCAGATGCAAACAATACTTAAACAGAATAGAAAAAAAAATGTTATTCACCTGACTACAATACGAGATGCGACCTCTTAGTGTGAGGCCAGACGAGCGTAATTTTGTGAGTTGTGAATCGCGTAGATTGTGCTGCAGTCGGTTTCATATAAAAGAACGGTTTGTTTCACACAACGACGCAAAATGAGTTATCTGCCGACTCACGGGCGTAATGACGACTGACTTTCAGTCGCATCGTGTGACGGGCAGGCGCGGGTGGAGGTAGGGGTGAAGGAAGGGGTCACTTTGGTATAGGATGCGCGTTAGTATAGACGTTTCTTGCGAAAATGTTCGATACGGAGATTAAAATACAAATAATATAATTGAACAATTTACTTGATTGTTATTATTAGTCTTTCTTCTGGACTGATGGCTTGTCTCATATTTGTATCTGACTTAGTAATAAAAGGTTTTACTAGGCTTAATAATTCTTAAAAAAACATTTATTGCACATGTGGTAGGATTTAACAAATTGATCTGGATGTTCACATAAGCTTGTATATAATATATGAAACTGCCCATACTGTAATCGTTTGATATTGAGTGGATGTATCCAGTTGCTTTTTCTTTTTCTAACATCATCTTCTAATGCTTCATAAATGCATACTTTTTCGACTGTCTAGCGCTTCAAGCGAATTTCGTTCGAGCGCAAACTGCGCAACTCAAAAAACGCAATTCACAAAATTGCGCTCGTCTGGCCTCACCCTTAATTACCTCAAATGGCATCTGCAGCGTAGAATCCGCAGTGCTGTGAGTCTAGTATTTAATTTAGTGCGGATATTCACGGATGACAGTCGCCTACAATGAACGCACGGGTGGCTCGTGTGGAGTTCACGCGGAGCGGGTACCGTACGGAGCAATCCGCGTCACTGTAAAACGATGTTCTAACTCCGCGCGGACGATCCGCAGACAAATAACCAGCCTTAGGGTGCTGTCCGAACGCCCGTCACCCTGAGACATAAGTTGACAAGTCCCATGTGCCTGTAATTTCACCAACACCCTTACCCTTCAAAACCGGAACACAGCAATACTGACATTACTGCTTGGCGGCAGAAATAGATAAGGTGGCAGTACTTCCCTAGACGAACTCTTTCACAAGGAGCACTACTGCTACTAATTTATTCTGTCATGTTCTCACATACACATAAACCATTGACTTACAATTATATGGACGTCGGGTCCGCGCTAAAAAGTGTCCGAACTTATAGGGCGTTAAAATCGTATACAGAGTGTCATTCACGCTTTAGTCTTCGTTTGTTTGACTGACAGCGAAGCAAGCAAAATTAGACAGTACTGCGATGACATTACAATTTAAATTCAACGTTTTAGCTTTTTCATATTCCTTTACATGTCACTACGTTTAAATAGGTTGACTTGGGACATTTTTTTCGTGGTTTTTGTATTACACCCGTCGTCTATTTATTTGTAAGTCAATGACATAAACGCATGTTTGTGATAAAATAAAGATAATTTCTTCTTGTAGAGGTGAGGTAGATTTTAGGGGAACACTTGAGATACATGTATGTTTGTCAACGCGTCAATCTGTTGGTTCGAAACAAAGGTTACAACGTACGATTAATATCGTGTACCATATATAGAAATCTCTTAGTCTAATTAAGATGTAGGTATAACTACATCACACTACCTCCTTATTTTTTTTACTTTTGTATATTATTTTAACACAATTGATTAGAATATGTTTATTACAATGTTTTCTTATTCTAAACATAACTAAAGTTCATTCACTCGTAATAAGTAAGTTCTAATGAATACTATCCTAATATGTGTAATTCAATGTTTAGAAAATCGTCATCTACTTTCAAGCGTAAGTGCAAAGAATGGCTATTTAATCAACAGATAACATCATACTGTTGGTCGAAGGTGATGTAGGCTCTGCTACGTCATTAGAAATCATAAAAGTAAAATTATAATTGGAATAAAAAATGTACTAACTCTATATTCATCTAAATTCTATTCTCTGCTTGTTGTATTCTATGTACACGGTGAAATACTCTTTGCTACTAAGTGCAGTACGTCCGCTGGTCGGTACGTATGTCAATTCAAGTTTTAAGGTTTGTTATTTCTGTAATAAACGTATATAGTGAGTGAGGTACTCTCCTATTTATTACATAATAGATAATCGAAAAGATGTCCGTCCCTTTATGCTACGGTGTCTCCAGCTAATAATTGCCAGGTGAAGCCTGAAAACCAGCAAATTGCTAAGGCATTTTCCTTTTCTTCGACATAGATTTAAGCATTGTTTTAAATATTATTGTATGTTTTCTGTTGAAGAGTAATCGTAGATTGTACAACAAGTGAATAAAACGCGCCATTTTGCTCGAGACGAGTATATTCACCCGAGCCGCAGGCGATGGCGGATACTTAAGTCGAGGGTTATATTACAAATAAACGATATTTCCGAGAAAGTATTCACTTGTTTTTCGACCCTCCAACGCATGAAATTTTCATACGTGTTAACTTAGAATAATAACGCATAGAAACCGAGCCCGCACACGCTAAGTGAGGCAAATTGAAGCGCTCCCAAAGGGCCTACACGAGCAGGCGGGCCTTCAGTGCTCAAGGTCAACTTGCACCGCGAACAGATCAAGAATTTTAGCTAAAAATGACGAAATGTGCGGTAAATGAGTGTAAAAATACGCCAGACAAACATAAAATAGATACTAACCTCACATTCCACAAGGAAGTAACGCGTTTCAACTTGTATTTTTATATCAATATTCACTAAAACCGAAAATTAACCTACTACTAAAACTAGCCTACATGAATTTGATTTTTGCCTCACTTGTGACAGTTCGTTTGATATTTTTTTTTTTTTTTTATTTATTTAGGAACAAACAGTTATATACAGTAGAAAAAAATATACAAAATGAACTTATTAATAAACCTATAGTCCCCTAAATGTAAATTTAAGATAATATTACTTTACAAAATTATAAATACATATTACTACAAAATATGAAAAATACACAGGAAATCTGATAGAATATACAAAATATAAAATGGACAAGCATTACACAATATGATATTTTAATGCAAACATTTCATACATAACGAACAGGAAAAACATTTTAAAAATAGGAAATATACTTATAAGTTAAATATAGTTATAAGTTATTACACTAGTAAGTTCAGTGATATGCTTTTTAAATTTTGGTAGCGACTTAACAAACATATCTGCATCATTCATTTTATCATTATATAAGGCACACGCTCTCTTTATAAAACAATTACTTCCATAGCAAGTCTTACTAGATTTTATTGCGAATAGTATTTTCTTGCGATTTGTTCTTTCTTGCTTACGGGGTACACGAAAATTAATTCGTTCCAAAAGGAAGGGGACATCAACCATATTATTTAATATTTTATACAAGTATGCAATGTCAGCGATTTCACGACGTTGCTTTAAAGTGTTTGTCTTATGGAATGTAAGGGATGATTCATAATCTATGCGCTGGTGGCCGATTCTGTAATCTAAAGATTTGATAAACTTTTTTTGTAACTTTTCAATTTTGTCCTGATGGACTTGTTGAAAAGGATTCCAAACAGAAGACGCGAATTCCAGTCTACTTCGGACGTAGCTATTAAATAATAGTTTATAAGTGTAAGCATTTTTAAAGGGTTTTCCCACGCGTAAAATAAAACCCAATAATTTGAATGAACTCTCAACAATTTTATCTATATGAGGAATAAAAGACAGTTTGGAATCCATTGTCACCCCCAGATCCCTGATTTCATTTACACGATTGAGATCCCTACCATTAACTTTGTATGTATATATAATAGGTTTTTTCTTTCGTGTAAAAGAAACAGTAAAACATTTATCTGGATTCAAGAATAAATTATTATTGTTACAAAAGTCAACGAAATCATTCACATCATTCTGCAGTAACGCTGCATCGTGTGTTTCTCTAACAACTCTATATAATTTAGTATCATCAGCATATAGTAATACGTTTGAGTGTTGAATGGACTTAGTAAGACCATTGACATAAATAATAAATAGTAAGGGTCCCAAATGTGAACCTTGAGGAACTCCAGAGGGAATATTCAAATATGCAGAACGATAACCACATAGTACAACGGCCTGACTACGATTCTCCACGTACGAACGTATCCAACGAAGCAAATCGCCATGTATTCCGAGCTGCCCGAGCCTATGGAGTAAGGTGTCATGTCGAATTTTGTCAAAGGCTTTAGCAAAATCTGTGTATATAGCATCTACTTGCACATTTTCATCCATAGCTGACAATATATGCTCCGTAAAAGTCAGTAAGTTGCTCTCCACACCACGCTTTTTACAAAAACCGTGTTGGTTCGGTACTATGGCGCGCTGGACAGCCGCAAATAGCTGATCGGTAACGAGCTTTTCCTGTATTTTAGCGAATTGACATAGTTTTGAAATCGGCCGATAGTTTACGACATTATCACTTACCTTACCTTTGGGAATAGGTGTTATCCAAGCACTTTTCCAAACTTGAGGAATGCAACCACTGTGATATGAAACTATCATTCTATGCGTTATTATTCTAAGCGTGTTAAGATAAAGTTGCTTAGATTTCGGCGGCAATATCTGCTTAACGACGTTTTTAGCATTCCTTTCCATTAAAGAGTTAGGTGTGAGTGTAATTTCCTCTTCACTTGACGACATTATTTCGCGTAAATTGTGGAACAATTTCGAATTGCAACACAACTATTGCCAAGAAAAAATAAGAACTTCCCGCCAATGTACTACTTTCTTTTTCTACACGTGACTCAGGTCGGACTACATAATGCTCAGTTATATTTAACAAGCTTTTACTTCTTATGCATTTCTATTTCTTAAACTTATTAGAATTACTTTTATTTTATTTTATTCTCTCTTTTAAATAATATCTCTCTTTTATATATTATCTTTTTAATAATCTAATTTAAATCTTATAATTATTTTATTAGTTCAATACCGTCCCGCACTAAAAAGTTTGGCAATTCGTTTTTATGCTGAACCATCAAATTGTGGAACCAACTCCCGGCGCATGTATTCCCTCCCCTCTATAACATGTATGAAGAAGTATTTGGCCAGACCGGCAAAATGATAGTGACGGAGTGAAGATATTTGTGTTTTCCATCCGTTACTCTCATCTCTGGACTGTATTCGCACTTTCCATCAGGCGCGGTGCAGTCATTTTGCCGAGTCACAATAAAAAAAAAAAAACTATTGCCTACTTTTTTAATTTTGTAATATAACACGGCATTCGCTCTGGACCTTTTGGAGGAAAAAGTTTCGTTTTTATTTTGACTTTCAATTATTTTGTGAAATCTAGTTTAAAGTGGAATAGGATAGTGCTATTGTGCCTTAATCGCAGATTAAAACGCGAAATTATACGAATCTCGAACTACAATACCCGTAGCGGCCCGTTTTAAGAAATCCCGAGTCAATCCAAGCACGCCCCGCCTCAAATTGCCTATCCTCTTTGTGGCGGCCATATTTGCAGAAACATAAACTTCATGTTTAGGCTGATGGCTTTGCCAAAGCCTTAATAAATTAAAATAAAAAAATATAACACGGATTAAAAAAATAAAAGTAAAACTTTATTTTATAAAGCTCTAGTGTGCGTGGCTGTTGGTGCAGGCGTCATTACCTCGGTCTTAAACGACGATTTCATTTTATGCACTAGAGCCATTGACTTACAATTATATGGACGTCGGGTCCGCGCTAAAAAGTGTCCGCACTTGTAAGGCGCTAAAATCGTATACAGAGCGCCAAACTCCGCTTTAGTCTTCATTTGTTCTACTGACAGCGCGATACTGCGATGACATTACAATTTAAATTTCGAATAGGTTGACTTGGGACATTTTTTTCGTGGTTTTTGTATTAGACCCGGCGTCCATTTATTTGTAAGTCAATGACTAGAGCATTAAATCCTATTTTATGCAGTCTACATCCAGCATAAATACGAACTTTAAGAGCATGAGAAGTGAAGTCTTTTTTATTTTTTAATAATAAACTGCATGATGATACATAGGTAGGAACGTTACGACATTAATATATATATATATATATATATGTATATATATACACCTACGTATTTAATAGCTAGACATCTGAATTACTATGGGTTACAAAAATATGGGATTGTTTTATTTTTGTGAATAACATTGTCTTTATTTCTGACAGAGATTTTTATCATCGATCATACTGTACATTTTCCTCTTCTGTGTCTAGTACTATCACCACCCCCATGCGAGGCGGAGGTACGCCGTCGCGGTGAGAAACGCCCGATCCCGGCAGAACTAAAAGACGACAAATACTACGAACGGCGCCGGCGCAACAACCAGGCTGCCAAGAAGAGTCGAGACGCCAGAAGGATCCGGGAGGATCAGGTAACGCATTCGCTTATTTACGGGTGAATATGACAGAATAAATTATTGCTTGGGGGTCAACGATCTCAAGGTCATTTTGTTGTTTTATAAGCAATAGATTTTTTTTATAACGCGAAGTGACGGGACGAACAAGTCGTGTGCCTGTCCCTAACAACTCGGTTTCAATCACAAAGATCCCTCAAGGGCACCGCCACCGCGCCCGACACCCTGAGACATAAGTTGACAAGTCCCATGTGCCTGTAATTTCACCAGCACTCTTACCCTTCATAACTGTAACACAGTAATGCACAACATTCTTAGCGGCAGAAATAGGTAAGGTGGCAGTCTTTCCTTGAACGAACCCTTTCACAAGCTCTACTGCTACTAAAGTATTATTGTTAATGAGTTTGGCCAGGAAAGTATCTACTGCTTAGCTATTTCTGTCGCCAAGTAGCAACGTGAGTGTTACTGCGTACCGGAATGGAAGGGTCCCGGAGAAACTACAGGCATATGACACGTCAACTTTATGTTTCTAAGGAGACCGGCGCAGTGGCAGCGCTTCTCAGATCCTTGTGATTTAAAGATCTGTGTGACACGGCAATTGTTATGGATGGACGTGTGATGATCGTCCCGTGACTTGGTATTACATTTAATACAAAAACTTGTATAGATTTCTCACACATGGCGCTACGGTAAAAAAGTCGTTAAAAAACAAAACAAAGATCTGCAATAAGCACATGGAAAAATTCATCCGTTAGTTCCGTGGCTTAGCTGGCATAGCGTCTGCCACGGTTTGCTAGAAAACGTTGGAATCCAGCCGGTTCTTTTTATATTTAATAAATTTTATATAGCCGGATTTGTTTAATAATTATTACAAACTCATTTAATTACAATTTATTAAAACGATATCCCTGGTCAACTGCTGGTAGTTGTAAAGGTACCTAGATGAGTGAGGAAAAACTTTGATACTATTTTACAGTCTTAATTTTTTTGGTCCGTTAAATGAACCGGTAGGTGTATAATCTTTATTATAAAGGTACTATTGTTACGGACGGCCGTACGCGTCTGGCCGGTCAGAGCAAGAATGAGTAATTCAGGAGCTCTGATTGGCGGAGCGGCGAGCGGCGAATTGATAGGGCCGGTACGGTGTGGGAGACACCGTATCGGTATAAGTGAAAATTATTCTCATTGTCTCATTCGTAATTAATTTGTGATTATGTTCAGTCGTGCTCGATATCCTTGTTCGATAAGTCAGATAGACATAGAAGTAAGTTTTGTGAAAGTATACAGTCCACTTCCTGAATCAATAAGAAGTTTTATTGAAGAAAAGCAGGATATCGAAGACAGTGCACTACCGGTCTTAACAACTATGAAACTATAGAATACTAATAAATTATTCTTTAAGAGTCTACACAACCTCAAATGGCTTTCGTTGACACCGCATAACAGTAAAAGTGTTCAATCAATTACTTTGGATATAACATATAGTAAAAATGAGGACATTAACTGATTATTAAACAATTTTCACGATAGAAAAAAACCAAAAATTTTCCTTGAAAATTTACAAGAAAACCTCTGTATTCAATAGGTACTTTATATATAAATATCGATGATTATTTTTATATCAACTGAACGAAATAGAACACGTATAGTATACACTTTTCAAATGGCTATATTTTCGTTTGTAAAAAAATTAATTCTGAAATAAAGTAGCCACTCGACCCAAGCAAAATAAACCGTATTAGCACGGGAAAAATTTAATTCGAGCAGAGATCGATACTTAATACCTTTTTCTTCCCGCAGATTGCCTGGCGAGCTTGTATTTTAGAACAAGAAAACGCTTCCTTAAGAGCTCACGTCGCAGCTCTCAGGCAAGAAGCCCTGGCTCTTCGCGGTCTTCTAGCAGCTAGGGATGATGCTCCGCCAGCGCCTTCCAGCACTACTGCCGATTAGGGATAAAGCCTTGTTTGTTCCAGTGACACTCTAGCGCAGAAATCTTACTTATAGCATGGACCAATAATAATATATTATAGAGGGTTGTTTATCAGTAATCCGAAATGACAATTTCCAGAAATAACGTTTGGTCGAAATTTCATAACCTCGAAAGTAATTTTGAGAGGAAAATGTTTTTTCTTTTAAACCTAACTTAACCTAACCTATCCATAGCCATATCGGAAGTATGCGTTCTATTTCTATCAGTGAGTAAGAACTTGTAGCTTTATATATATAACTAGATGGCGCGCGTCGCGCCGGGCCGCTAAAGCGGCCGGCGAGGGCTTTCTTTGGGACTCGTGTGACAGGTTGGGAGTTAGACTTCATATTTCAGTAGAGAATCCTCTTTGATTGAGTTTGGATTGGAGCAGGGTTGTCGACTGCTCCAGTTAAGTTACATGTAGGGGTAGTTAGTACGATCGCGTCAAGTTGTATCCTTAAATATCTCAGAACAAACCAGTCGTATATCATTGACAACTGCGAAGATTCAGAATAGTCAATTTCGTATGGCGGCCATCTTAAATTCGTCATATCAGAACACTTTCGATTCTGGTAGAACCTGACTAAGATTCTTGACAACTTTTATTTGAGAGCCATGTGCCCATCTACGATACTTGAGCGAACAGCCTCTGTCCCACCTGATGCGGAGCACTATTCCAAGATATCCGGATTTTCTCGTACTCACTGTACCCTTCCGGCCACTATTCCTGTAAATCATTTTAAACTATCGCTGTTCCTTCCGGGAGAACTATTACCTAAATGTCTACATCAGTCAGTAGTAATCGAGCTACACACGTATAGTATGTTGCGCGTTGCGCTGGGCCGCTAAAGCGGCCCGCGAGGCCTGTGTCTTAGGCTTGTGACAGTTTGCTGGTTGTAGTGTTTGTTTTAGAAATATATTTTTGTTAACTTTATTTGGTTCTGAGGGAGTCAAGTAGTTGTTATGATCTCGTCAAGTCGTATCCTTACATACTTCAGAAGAAACTACTCATACATCATCAATAATTGCGAAGATTCAGTAAAGAAATTTTTTTATGGCGGCCATCTTGGATTCGCCATTTTGGAAAATTTTTAGTTCCAGTAGAACCTGATCAGGTTCCTTGATAATTTTTGTTTGAAAGCCATACCATCTCTGACGCTTTGGCCGGGCAGGTGGTGTCCTACCTGATGCAGACCACGTCTTGAAAGTTTTGGATTTTTCTGGTATTCAATATTCTCAGTCAAACACAATCCTTGTACATTTATTTAACACACCTCGATTCGTTCTAGGAGAACAATGACGTTGGACGGTGGAAAATGTATGGCGGCCATGTTGGAAAATGAAGAACTACAAACACAATTTCATATTATGGGGCCTCATACGCGGCCAAGTGCCAAATTTCAGCACCATCGGTAAATTTTTTTCGGGCGCCATCTTGAATCGACCATTTTGAAAAAATGAAGTTGACAGTCAATTAGCTCCTATCGCCTTTTCGGACTTAAGTTTAAACATAATTTACCTATCTCTAATAGTTTCAGAGACATAGTACCCCGAAATTTGTATGGCGGCCATTTTGTTTTGCGAATTTGAAATTTTTTTACTTCCGGTAGAAACTGCCCAGGGTGTCGAGCAACATTTGTTTGGAGACCTTAGGGCTAAAACGTATACTTCGCCCATGCAGCTGGGGTCCTCCCTGATGCTGAGCACTTTTCGAAGGTTTTGGTACTTTTTGATACTCACCAAATCCACCCAACCATTATTCGCATACGTCATTCTTATACACCCGCGTTTCTTCTGGGAGAAATGTGCTGGTCAGAAAAACCGAAAATACACTTGTATGGCGGCCATCTTGGAAAATGGCGGAATCGAAATTGCGATATTCTTATTGTGGGCTTATTCACGGCCGCATGCCAAATTTCAGCAGGATCGGACCACTGTGTTTTGGGCCCCATTTTGAGGCGGCCATCTTGAAAACATTTTATCACCGGCAGTTGATTCCCATTGCCCTCTATGACATTTGGTCGAGGACCCCCCGCCTATCTCGAATACTCGCCGAGCTACAAGGCTCTGAAATTTGTATGGCGACCATTTTGTTTACTCGAATTTTGAGTTTTTTTCACTTCCGGTAGAAATCGCCCAGGGTGGCGGCTATTTTTAGTTTGACGATCGTGCCGGTAGGTGTTATAAGTACTTTAGCCGCGCAGCCGGGTTCCCACCTGATGCAGTCCATTTTTCGAAGTTTCGGATTTTTCTGGTACTCACTGGAGCCATCCGACCACGACTCCCGTACCTACATCATTTTTACCCACCGCGACTCCTTCTGGGAGAACAACTATCTAAATCACTGGGTCCGTCAGTCAGTGATAATCGAGCTAAATATAATATAATAATGATGGAGATTGGCAGCCATCTTGAGTTATAAGTCCAAGCTTAAAGCAAATGAAACAATTTTTTCGGATCTAAATGGCGTATATTTGTTTTTTCAGATAAGACAACGTTTTGATTCCCATGGTTACGATTAACTGAGACGGTATTAGTCAAGAAAATTCCAATTTACTTTTATTTGATTAATATATTTATAATATGTGAAACGACCCTTTCGGTAGGTAAGTATTATACTCTGGCTGCGCGGCCGGGGTGCTATCTGATACAGTCCGTTTTTCGAAGGTTTCGGATTTTTCTGATAGGTCCGATTTACTCATTTACTCGCTTAGTAGCAGTCTACTACGAGAGTAAATGAGGTCCAATGAGTATCAGATCCCTTGTGAAAGAGTTCGTCCAGAGAAGTACAGCCACCTTACCTATTTCTGTCGCCAAGCAGTAATGTGAGCATTACTGCGTTCCGGTTTTGAAGAGTGCTGGTGAAATTACAGGCACACGGACTTATCAACTTATGTCTCAGGGTGACGGACGCATTGGGGGTGTCCCTGAAATGTTTGCGATTTAAAGCTCTGACGGGCACTGCAACTGTTACACGCAGGCGTGTCGCTTTCCACCAGGCGCACGTCTTATTTGTCCACTTCGTACCATAAAAAACAAAAAGAACCCATCCGACCACGACTTCCATACATCATTTTAACCCATCTTGACTCCTTCTTGAAGAATTATGTCATTGTCTACATTAATCAGTGGTAATAGAGCTATATACATTTTTTTAAATGGGACAGTATGGGGAAATCCGAAACCATAGAAGATACAAGAAAACTGTCATAGGAACCATTACGTCTTTTTTTGTGAAAACAATTTTCACATAGTAAATTTTTTGATCAAACGTGAGTTGTCCAAATGAATAAAATTGATAAAATTTTGTTTAGTGCTGATAAACTCAGTTTCTTGTAAGGATCATTTCACTGTATGGGACGAAAAAAAT